GAGAGAGAGAGAGAGAGGGAGAGAGGGAGAGGACGCGACTCCGGCGGCTGTTCGCCACGAAATAAAACACGTGGAAAAGCGGTGTTGGATCCCTTTTTTTGGGGGGAGAGATGTATTTTTTAATAAGATAGTGGGGGGCGGAGGGGGGGTGTGGGGGTGTGGGGTGGGGGGGGGGGGGTCCGTGGAAAGGATGGCGAGAGAGAGAGAGAGAGAGAGGGAGAGAGAGAGAGGGAGTGAGTGATACATCCGACAAACGCAGTTCAAATGATGCACAAAAAATCGTGCGCTGAATTATTAATTCACCTTTTTATGTGTATATATATATTTTTTTTCCCCCCTCTCTCTCTCTCTCTCTCTCCCCCTCTCTCTGTGAACCACTTGTTGGCTTTCGACCATATTTGCCTCTGGGAAAATATTCCTGATCTGGAAAACAAAATGCAAACCCTCTTTTTCTCTCTCTCTCTCTCTCCCCCTCCTCTCTCTCTCTCTCTCTCAGGACAGTATAAGCATCAGGTTAGGGATTTGTGTGTGTGTTTGTGGGGGTGTGGGGGTGTGGGGTGGGGGGGGAGTGGGGGGGCACTGTATCGAGAGGGTAATTCGTTCGTGTGTGTGTTTTTTCTTCTTTATACATTAGATATCTCTTTGAAAAAAATAATAGGGCAAAGGCTCTGTGCAACACTTTGGGTTTGGAAATTTTTTTTTTACAGTGGGGCATCAGGGATTGCCACATGTGTGGGAGGGGAAGGCAGGGGTTTAACTGCAAAAAATACTTCCTGGTTTCTTTCCACACCCCCTCCCCACCCCAACCCCCCCCCCCCCCCCCCAGACCCTTGAGGCTTTTGCACACACTGCACAAGGAGGAAAAAGCAGCGTTTAATAGCCCTGAGAGAGGACACTTGAACTGCGAGGGGTGAGATTTTAAAGCCCATTGCAAGGGGTGTGGGGGGGGGGGGGGGGGGTGGGGGGAGAGGGGTGTTGGGTGGGGGGGGGGGGAAGTGAACCTGCTTTGAGTTTACAAACTTCACACAGGGTGTGTGTGTGTGTTTTTTTATGCACGACTGGACGGGGTGTGTGTGTGTGTGTGAGTGTGTGGGTGTGAGTGTGAGTGAGTGCGCGTAATAGCGTTTGCGTAGCGAAGATCGCGTTTTAAATCCTTTCTGTCGGGTCTTTGTCGCGTCGCCAACGAGAT